CGTCTTGACTGCGAACAGGTGCACTCCAGCGACAGCCGTGACTGCTGGGGGAGGGAAGGCGGCGTGACCCGCCTCTGACCCAGGAGCCCCGCGTGTGGGGTGCGCGTGTGGAGTTCTCACCGAGTCAGTGAAAGAGGTTTCGGAAGGAAGGCAGACAGTATTCCCATGGACGCTGCTCTCCTGGGAAGATGAGAGAGGCCCGTCCGTGGTGCTGGGAGGCGGGCTGGCCACGGCTGGCCCCGCTAAGTCGGAGCTCTCAGACTGGTGGACAGGTGGGAAGTGTGGAGAGGAAGAGGAGGTAGGCGGAAGGACAGGCTGAGCAGGAGCGTGGTGGTGAGGCACGAAGTCCTGGGAGTGGGACCTGAACACAGACGTGTACTACAGAGCGCAGCGGGGACACACACGGGGACACACAAGAAAGAGCGTTAGGTTAACTGTGCTGGGCACGGGCACGGTCCACCCATCAGGCCCTCCGGCCCCGGGGTCCTCCCACACCCGGCGCTTGCGCCCGAGGCAAGGGCCTCGAGACCTGGACCTGTGATGTGAAGTGCTCCCCTACGGACAGCAGCCCCCACGCTGCACGGGTGACCACGTGCTCTCCCGGACAGAAAACGAGACCCACGCCCGCCAGCCTCGTGCCCTTTGTGTCCTTTGAGGGCACTTTCGGCTAAACTCCGCCTGTAATTGTGCGTCTTTGCTCTCAAACTCCTCAATGAACCCGGTTTTACCCCTTTGAAGTCAACACTGCACCTTTTTTCACATCGCAATCCTCCTCAAACCCACCTGGCAGAGAACAGGAACTGAAAATAGAATTGTATCAAATGCTAAACGCTTCTATGAGTTCATTTCCCTTCCTACACAATCTTTTTTCTTTTTAATAAATGCAGGGATTTCACCGCAGCTCCGACTCTACCAGATTCTCAGCTGAGAGCAGTCTCACACTCCTCAGATCCAACGAGCTTCCAGGCCAGGGCTCTGCTGCTGGAGGAGGGGCAGGGGAGCTCTAGGACCACCGGCCCATGGTCACCACACAAGAAATGGATGCTGCCACTGTGGCCTGCCAGGCCAGCCAGCACTGTCAGGGGGACCAGAAGGCCATGTCTGAGTTCTTCCCAGGCTCACCTGCCCCCTGCAAGAGCCAGGACTCGACAAAGTCAAACCCAGCACAAATGTGCCTCTCACCCAGCGCTCTTGGCCGTGGCAGAGGCCTGGCTCTTCAGAACCAATGGAAATAGGAAAAGGAGGAAGAAGAAACAACATTTTAAGCTAATGGGAGGTCAAAGCTGCTGCTATCCGTGAATCTAGAATCTAGACAAGGAGCTGCTGCAACCCAAGGGAGGAGGTATCCCCCCCCAGGGTGGAGACAGCCTGGGCCTTCTCATCTGATCAGTTTGCTGAGCCCTGGAGCCCTGCCCCAGCCACTTAGTTACTGCTTCGCTTTATTTCCCTATCCGGCGACTCAAGGCCAACCCTTGGCCATGGCCACATGCACTAGGGGAATCCCAGATGGAGGTGCGGGCGGGAGGGTGCTGCTGTGTGATGCTGGAGCCACACGGGAAGGCTCTCGGTTGCCTCTGAGCTGACCTGAACACAACGGATGCCTGTGATCACGAGTGGCTGCAGGGCTTTGGGGAGGATCCTGGTGTGAAGACCCGGCCTCTCTGCCTCAATGGAAATAAAGCTAAAACGTACACGAGTGTGTATGCATGCACACATGTATGAATGAACTAGTGGACGTGCCATACATGTTCTGACCAGCCAGCACTGACACTCAGCCACCCGCTACAGGGAAGCTCCACCTACATTCCTTAAAAAAAAAAAAAGAATTACTTGATTTTATTTACCATTATTATTTTTTAACTGCTACAGGGCATGTGCACTCATGGTATGACAGAAAGTGAGAAAGCAAGCCACCAGGTCCAGGACTGGAACTGTAGTCGGCCATGTGGGAGTCCAAAGTCCAATGCTTCGACCACTATGCCACCTGCCAGCCCCCCATGTCCTTCTCTGTATGAGGCTGGAGGAGCAGACATCCCTACTTGGCAGCCACCCTCCTCACGCACTCACCAGCTTTGTGTTACCCTCCCTGCAAGTGGCCAGCAAGGAGCATGCACTGGGCCTGCCTGTGCTGGGCCGTTCTGCCCTCTCCCTGCAGGAAGCTTGGCCCACGGTGTGGCTCTCACTGGCTGGGAAAGCCACGGGAGTGGACAGCATGTGGCCGAGGCAGCTTTGCATGGCCCCGTGGGGCTGTTGCAGGCTGTGGCCTCTGCCATGCAGGAGCCCAGATCGTCAGATCTGTCAGATGCTCCTTCCCCACACCCAGCGCTGCCCTGAGATTTGCTACTGAGTACCTCCTGCTCACAAATTCACCTACTTGTTGCCACCCAGTTTAAGATTCTTGTTCAGCACCTCCTCTTTCTGGAGTCCCAATACCATCCTCCCTGATGCCCCACTCCACATAAACTCACCAGGCACTTTGGCACATCCTCAATGACCCAGCACCCGCCCTGTGCAAATGCAAAGGGCTCTGGGTAATCAGACGCTTCCTCCTTATCACAGGGTGCCTCACAGGCTCTGATTTGACAAGCTCGGGAACCTCTCCTGGGAGATGGTAGGGACTGCTGAGTTCACGATCTCAAGGTGCCCGACACAGGCTCAGGTCCTGCGTCATCTCTACTGCGTGGGCTCGGACGAGTGACTTAGGTTCCTGGCCTCAGGCTCTGAGCTGGGAGGCGGGGATGGAGACATGGGCGCGTCGTGGAGCAAGTCCTCAGCATGGCAGCACTGGTGCTGGCGAGCTCTGGGTCGCCTCGGCGGCCTTTCTGCCTTCCCAAACCCCCACTGGGAACGATTCTTAATGAACACAGCTGAGGCATTTAATGGGGCCCAACACCTAATGACTGAGTGAAAGAACACATAGGCGTAGCTTCTGCCGTAATCCAAGTACCTGACTGGTGCAGTGGCTGTTCTGAGTGTAGGAAGGGAGACTGGGGTCAGGTCCACAGCTCCAGACTGAGGAGGGGGGTCAGAGATGCCACTGGGAGAAAGGAAAGGCCTGCACCACTTTGACAAAGGAGCCTGGCCTGCCTCCCACTCCTCCCTCCTCCCGGTTTCTGGTATTTGAGCTATGCGGTCATGCTGGGACAGGAGCCAAGCTGCAGGGAACACGCCCTGGTGGCCACACGGCATCCCTGGCGCCTCCTTGGCTCTGCAGAGGAGCTGCAGTCAGCTCAGGACCGATTCCAACAAGTTGCAGTCTGTACTGATTCCTGGGAGAACCAGGCAGGGCTGGTGGTTCCGCAGCAGCCCCGCCCCGCCACAGCCTGCAGTTTACTCAGGGCATGGCTGGCTCCCGGCTTTGCTTCTGCAGGACTGTCCTCTGTGCAGCAGGGGTTTTTATTTATAGCCAGACTGAGTCTGTCTGGAGACGTGTTAGAACACGAAGGCTGCCTGTCTGGGACTTCTGCAGAAGACCTGGGCTGCCAGGGGATGGGAGCAGCTAGGAGGGGGTGCCTGGTCTCCGTGTCGGCCCTGGCCACATGGTCAGCAGGACGAGGACAGCTGCTCCACCCGAACGCCTCCTGCTGGCCCGATGAGGTGTGAGGCTTTGTGTGGGCCATCTCCTTCTTTAATCTATTGGGATGGAAAGTTGGGAATGCATTTTTGCATAGAAAAACGTCATGACTTTCCTGATGACCTAACACATGATGCGATTATGGCCCTGTTGACGATGAAGAAATGGAGGCTAGGAGGCCAGGCCGCATACCTGACAAACACGGCTGAGAGGAGGGTGTGTGGGGTTGGCTTGCACCACACTCAGTGCGATCCTGAAACACTGAAGGACACTGTGGGCACATGACAGCCCGAACCATGCAGCCCCACGCCCACGGCTCTGTAGGAGACAGCCCCACAATGCTACTTGGAGATCTCAGCAGCGTAAGGTGAAGCCGGGCACGCAGGTCAGAGAGCTAGGGCTCGATCTGTAGGCCAGAGAGCTAGGGCTCGATCTGTAGGCCAGAGAGCTAGGCCTCGATCTGCAGGCCAGAGAGCTAGGGCTTGATCCTCATGGCAGAGAGCTAGGGCTCGATCCGCAGGCCAGAGAGCTAGGGCTCGATCTGTAGGCCAGAGAGCTAGGGCTCGATCCACAGGCCAGAGAGCTAGGCCTCGATCCGCAGGCCAGAGGGCTAGGGCTCGATCCACAGGCCAGAGGGCTAGGGCTCGATCCACAGGCCAGAGAGCTAGGCCTCGATCCACAGGCCAGAGAGCTAGGCCTCGATCTGCAGGTCAGCGATGCGTAAGACAATACCCTGAACAGCAGAGTCATTCCAGGACAGGCAGGAAAAGGTGGTCAGTAAGCAAATTCCTCTTGTCAAAGTACATGCCCGGAAGAACCAGTGAGTCTTTGGAGTCTACAATCTCATGGGGGCTGCTGACACTATGTTGACTTGTGGCCAATTCATGAAAGGCGAGGCCATCTGAAGACGGACAGGCTGCGTGACACTTCTCCCCACTGTGGCCCTGGCATAAGAAACGACCAGGGATGGGCCCTATGTAGACTTGATAAGAAAGCAGATCCTTTTAAAATTTTGCTATAGGGCGGTTGTACTCACTGGAGACAAACAGAAATAGAAAGGGAGAGAGCAGCCTGCTGGACCACGACACCATTCCTTCTTCATTAGCCTTTCAGGACTGGGGGCATGCATGAGTACATACCCAGTGTGTTTTTCAGGCTGCCGGGTCTGGGATTTGAACCATGTAGTCAGCCATGGAATCCAGCGGCCTTAACCTCCATGCTATCTGCTGGCTCCAAGGAAGCAGATCTTCTCATGGAAAATTCTGTGTTCTCGATTTAAGAGCCACTCCATTCAATTCCTCTGATGACTCAGAAGACCAGGTGCCAGAAACCCTGGATCTGGGGCTGTTCCATGGTGACTTCAGCTCTAAGCCCCGGAGACCTGAGAACTTGGCCAGTTACAGGGAAATGACCACGTAAGTGGATGGCTCACCATCCTAGTGAAGGGCTGGGCAGGGAGCGGCCCGAGGTCGGTCATCACGGCACGCTCCTTGCTCAGGCAAGCCATGACTTCAGTTTTGGATGCTACTCAGTAAAACGGACAAGCAGCAGAACAGCTGGCTTTAGGCTTAGGTTTTCCTCCCTCATCTGTGAGAACACACAGGCATGCGGTGGGGTGTCCTGCCCTGCGGAGAACGGCTGGATGCATGGCTCGGCACTGGCCCAGGGTGTGGAGCACACTCCTTCAGCAGAACGTCAGCAGGGACTGCGTGCACCAGGACGGGCAGTCGGGCGTTTGGCCAAGCGAGGCCCAGCACCCTGCACGATTGCCTGGGGAGAAGCTCCTCTCACTGGGCTCTTAAGGACCACGATGGCCACTCCCGGACACCAGGAAGGTCCTTGAGCATGTCCCTCACTGGGCACTTGGCAAGCTTGAGGGAAGACTTCTGGCTTTGTCTTGGCTCTCCTCCGGTCCCAGTGACCTATCTATCTGCTCATGAAAGCTGTCCTTTGGGTCCACCTTGGGCCGATAGGCCACTCCCCTCTGTGGCGCCCTTGTAAACTTGTAACAGGAACTACACTGTACATGATGTAGTTTGAGGTTCCAAAGTCAAGCGGGAGGCCACGTGCATCTGACCTCGAGAACTGTCACGGGCTGCCTTGCTCCTGGCAAGGAGAAGCACTTGCGTGGGTCACCTAGTTTGAGTGGTGAGATGGCATTCATCTTATCGGAGAGGCAACACTAGCATCGTGTAAGGTCCAACACAGATCCTCGCTCTTTCTGAATAAACCTGGCGTTGTTGTCATTGAAAGCAATTTTTCTTTTTTGAGGGACTGGATGATGGGACTGATCCACGTGGGAAAGTTCTGGGTCTGAGTCGGGAGACTCTCCTGAGTAAGCTGGGCACAGGTGTGGCCGTGCTCGCGGGTTGGGGCTAAGCCTAGGTAGAGCGTGGCATCAGAGCCCTGTCAGGGGTGCTGTCTGTCTCTCTTGCTCTTGGAAATAATAAAGGAAAAAACTCCAAAAGCCTTTGATATAATTCTAAACACAAAGTAAAAGAACAGCGATCTGGTTGGGGAACTTTGGGTAGTAAGCTAGATGAGTGTAAACCCTATTACCTTCCTTCTCAGGTGATGGATTTTTGCGATCTGAGTCAGGTCTCCCTTGCAAACATGAAATTTTGGCTAATGGCTTCCCGGCTCACGTGCTCATGAAAAGCCTCCAGTGCACGTGGAGGTGCTGACCTGAATGGCAAGCATTCTGTAAGAAAGATTCCGGAGGCTTACACAATGATCCAAGTTCAGGTCTAGAATCGAAGCGAGCTATTTTTATTCATGTGGAGTTAAACATTACGACAGGGGCTCGAGTTTTCCCGTGTTCCCAGACCTATTTACAGCCTGCAGCCGCACTGTGCGATGAGTCAGACCGCAAAAGGCAGTAAGGCTCAGCCCCTCAGCCTTTCCTTTGATCCAGGCTTACCAGGCCTCAGTATTTGTTTGGTAATTAAGCAGTTCGTAAGTGTCCATCTAATCTAATCTACTATTTTTCATGATGGGATCTGGGTTCTAACCTTGGCTTGAACTTAAGACATAGAAAAAATAGTTCCTCTTCTCTCTTCTGGTTTCTCCCTCTATTCTAGAGAAATCCCCAAGAATGGGGGGAGACTGAGAGCCAGTGACTTGAAATAAGCTGAAGGCAGACACCAGGCCAAGGAAGAGCATGCTCCGGTGAGCTGGGAGCCTACGGGGCTTCCCGGCAGGCTTGCCCAACAGCCCCCAGGGAGGCAGACTGCTCTGAGGACTCACTCCCCGGCCCCCGCGCCCCTCTCATTCTCATGTGATCTAGGAAGCCAGTAGAGACAAGATGGCGCCAGAACAGGGATGTGGGCAAGGCTGGCGGACTCTTCTTCCTACAGGTGGACACACACCTGCTGTGTCAGCAGTGCGAGGGCCGTGGATGGTCCTCCTCTCGCCCATCGCAGGCCCTTCTCCCCGCCCTCCCCTCTTGCTCCTGTCCTCTCTTCTCCATGTCCCCCTGCTCCTCTTGGGCCTTCAGCTGTGTGCATGGTCTCCGTGGTGGCCGCTGGGCTGTTCTCAGGGATGTTTGTGGCCAGGAAGGTGGGGTGGGGAAGGGTGAAAGGGAAGGTTGGTGAGAGAGACAGATGCCCCGGGGCTTACAGAGCCCTCTGTGTGTCCAGGAGGTGGCCTGGCTGCTCGGAGGAGACGGCCATGGCACAGACGGCGAGCATCTGCACGCAGCTGGAAAGCTGTTTTGCCCAGAATGGGAGGCTAGCCACTCCACAGGCCTTTTGGAAAAAATTGGTCTTCAAGATGATTAGCTAAAGTGTTCTTATTTCTTCTTTCCATAGGAGAGAGATAAGAGAGAGAAGAAGTATCGTCCATAGGGTCCTCCGGCCATGCCACACCTCCAGCCTGAGTAAGCCTCGAGTGCAGGTAGTGTGCACCCCTGCTGTGCACAAGAGAGTGTGAACCTGCGACCTCCTGTGTGGGTCCACGTGTGTTACCACTATGCTCCCACTGGGCCCTCTGCAGAGTTTTTAAACACATGACAGTATTACAGGTAGTTCAATCCCCTCCAATTTCAGTGAGTGGGCCTTTTTGCTCTACAAATTCCCTGGGCAAGAGGCGTCCAATGGATAGAACCTTCTAGAAGTAACAGGTCATCCTGCCAAGAACCATGTGAGGAGCAGGCTTGACAGCTGCTGATTCCCACGAGGCGCGCCTCTGGCATCCATGCTGGAACCATGACGCAGGCAGGGAGCAGTGGGGCACGGGCAGGAGCTCAGGCCTCATTTCACCGGTGGAAGGACATGCCACAGCACATACCTCGCTTCTCTGGGGCTTCCGCGCATCGGATGCCAAGTGTTCCCACCGTAAGGCCGTGACCAACGGGCCTAAGGGCACTTTCCCTTTAATTAAATAAAGCACCTCACTACTCACCCCTTGGGTTCTTCTGGGGAACTGGTGCCGAGAACAGTATTTTAGATACAAGATGTCTTAGGACTCCCTTATGTCTTGGAGTGAAAACTACAAAGTCTTTACACCCAAACTTAATTAAAATGCCCTCAGACTTTCTTTAATTCTGTAGCAAACAGTCCAGTCCATTCACAGCCCACCAACATCCAAGTGCCAAAGGGTCATTATTTTTTTATTTTTTGGAGAGGTTTTTGCTATAGGGCACGTGCACTCACCAGACAGACAGAGAGAGACAGAGAGACAGAAAGCGAGAAATCACCCCTCCCCATTGGGGGATGGCCACTCCGCAATCCCTTCTCCTCCATTCTCCTCTGGGGATCTTGGGCACGCACACACACGTGCCCGGCGTGAGTTTTAAGCCACTGAGTCTGGGACGCGAACCGCCGTCGACTACGTGGGATTCCAGCGACATAGCCATTATGCTAACTGCTGGTCCCTCAAAGGGTCATTATTAAATGCTGAGGATAACTCGCACCCCCTTTCTGTTCACAGAGGAGGGGTGGGAAAAAAGCAGTCAAGAGCTAGGATTGCCTAAAAGTCAAGTTTTATAAGATCTGTGAAAGGAGCTCGCCCGAGGAGCCTTCCTGGAAACAGAGGGCGTGGTGCGGCCAGGGTGGGGCGGTGGTGGTTACTCCCGCACACGTAGGATGCAGAAGGCTCTGAGGCTAGATCCCAACACCCTATGTGAGACTGCAAGCCGAGGTCCTCCCCAGCAGGTGTGCCTTGCCCTGGACGCTGGATGGCCCTGGGCAGGGAGGAAGCGGACAAAACCAGACGAGGAGCCCGACGCAGCGGCGCAGGCAGTAGGGTGCTGCTGTGGGACCTAGAGCCACCCAGGAAGGCCGGGGTCGGGTTCTGACTGACCTAAGTACACCAGGCGCCTCCACCATCCTGGCTGCTTGGAAGGTTTGGAGTAGGGAATCGTGGCCTGGGAAGAGCTGGACGAAGCTCTCGCTCAAAACAAACTTTAAAAATCAAAAACGAAGACACCAAGCCGGGAATCTGGCCTATCCCAGACGCACAATTGAGAGCTGTTTGCCCGACGCTTCTTGTGAGGGGTCAGGAGCAGAACTAGCCGAGGCTCCAGAGCTCTCTCATGGAGAAAGACGTGACCTGCGACCACGCACGTCTGCGCACTTGCCCTCATTCCGTCCCCACGGCTGCAAACACGAGGTAAGCGGAAGTACACTTCCAGAGCAGATGCACAGGCCTGGGAGGAGAAACCAGCCACAAGGCCACGCCGATGCCCCACAGCCCTTTCCCTCGTGGCTTAGTGTCACGCGATAGGTTAGAGGGAGAAGTGGCTGCTCAGGTTCTGAGACGTGGGCCCCACAGAATGCTGTCTCCACAGAAATGGACACCCGCCCCCTCCTGAACCACACCCGTGCATGAGATTCAGCGGCAGTTTCCGCAGGAGGGGTCTCTGTCCCCTTTCTTTGAATCTGGGCTGGCCTTGCGATTTGACTGAGTGGCTGCCACAGAGCTGCTATCATGCCAGCCCCAAGCTCAGGCCTTAAGACGCATGTTTCTATCTGCTCCTCAGAACCCTGCCAGTTGCGAGGTGAACGAGCCCAGGCTGGCCTGGCAGAGGGGACAGACCACGAGGACAGGACCAATTAACTGTCCAGCTAGGGTCCCAGAGGTGTCAGCAAGTCCAGCCCAAATCTGCCACACCAGGGCAGACTGGCACAAGCACCCTAGCAACCTGTGTCCTGAGCAGCAGTGAGTATTCGGCTGTGGTTTGGGGGTGTCTGTGACACAGCAAAAGCTGTCAGGAGGAAAATGTCTACAGGAGTGGACGTACCCACTCCCTTCCAACTCGACTGCTGTGACTCTGAGGAAACCTGTCCTCGGCCCTGCGACCGGTGAGAGGCCTGCTCCTCCCTGACACACTGGGAAGGCTGGTCTGAGGCCCGGTGGGAGAGCGGAGCAAATCGGCCCCAACGCCTCTGCCAGGTAGGGCCAGAGCGGTGAGGCTCCAGACGTGGCCCCACATGTTTCCCCGCTCCTCCCCCACCCATGAGGAGGGCCCCAGAGAGCACCCTCTCGCCCTTCCCAGCCGTGTACGGGGACCTGCGCAAGGGCAGAGGCAGCGCCAGGCAGTGGCTCACACGTCCGGGAGGTGCAGGCCAGGATGAATGGTCCTGGTTGCAGGCTTCCAAGTGAAGGACAGCAGGAAGTGACTCACCGAGGGCACGGGCAAGCTGCCGTGCCGGCTGAGAAAGGAGTTAGAGACGGACACACTGAGGCCCTGAGTGGCACCGCCGTCCTCGGGGGTGAAGGCCACTTTAGTTTGCTGGACACAGTAGGAGACAGGGGAGAAGGAAGAAGCAGCATAGGAGGCCTGCTGGGCAGAAGGGACAGAGAAGGTGGGGAGGAGGGAGAAGAGCAGAGAACAGTCAGGCACGTGCAGGGGAAGGCGGCACAGCTAATTCTGCTCGGGGACGTTCTGAACGGGGATGGCTTCTCGGCCCAGCTCAGGGTTCAGAATCACCTGCTACGGGCTGCCCGGAGAGGGTGCCCCTCTTTGCTGCCTTGTGCTGGGCTGAAAGCTGACTGTCCCACGGACTGCCCACCGGAAGCTGGTCAGGTGGAAGGAGGCCGAGTGGCCTGGCTCGACCTGACCCTGAGCTCCTCCTGCTGGGGTCACTCAAGTCATCAGAGTTCAGCTGGGGCTGGGCTGCCATCTATCAGCTGTTTGGCTTTGGGTGTGACCTGAAGTTCTCTGCCTCATACAGTGGGGCTAACAGTGGGAGTACCAGTGCCGCGCTGCAGGGAGGGTAAACAGGAAGACGTGGGGAGCGCTCAGAATCGGGTTGCCCACATGGTGCGGGCCGACGGTCTGGTGGTAACACTCTCACACGTGCCTCCCAGAGAAGGCACAGCCAGCGGCCGTGCGGGGCTGCCCGCAGGCCAAGCTTGTTCCAGCCACCTCTTTCTACCTGGGAGCGGGGAGCCTCCTGGCTCTCGTAGCCTCAGTTTCCTTACAGTGGGCGTGCCAGAGGCTGCGGTGAGGCTCACGTGAGCTCCAGAGCTTACCGGGCTGGGAACATTCAACCTGGTTGCCCTAGCAGGTCCCTCAGGGGCTGGCCTTGCCACTGCCCTGCTCTCCTGCCATGGTGGGTTCTGATACCACGTGCTCATTAGGGATCTGTCTCCAGATACTCAGGCAAAGATGCCCAAAGAGAGCCACTGGGCAGTGAGGATGCCAGTGGGGGTATGAGATCAGCAGTGGCTTTACGCAAATACGTCAGCCAGGGGTCCCGAGGCCGGGCATTTGTGCTTTCCTTTTTGAAACATCTGTAGAACAATTTTTAAAAAAAATATATATACATTTTTGAGAGGTTTTTGCTACAGGGCATGTGTGCTCGCCAGAAAGACAGATGGAGAGACAGAAAGTGAGAAGTCACCTCCCCGGGGGGATGGCCACGCCGCAATCTCTTCTTTATTCTTGTCTCAGGACCTTGGGCACGCATACACACTCGGCATGAGTTTAAGCCACTGGGTCCGTGACTCAAGCTGCAGTCGACTACATGGGAGTCCAGCGACATAGCCATTACGCCGACTGCTGGTCCCATGTAGAGCAGTTTTAATTTGTATTCAGTGTTCGGGGGTGGGGGGGCAGGGCAGGTGAGGACCATTACCCTGAGCACAGCACAGGTGACACGGCTAGTCAGTGGAACCCAGGACTGCCAACCCCAGACCTGGCCTTTCCTCTGCCGGATGGGATCCCTCTGAAGAGGTGGGCTAGAATTCTCGAGAGCAAATGAAATGGCTGCCGGGTCCACCGAGTGCAGGAGAGCTCGTGGGCTCCTGGGGCCAGGATGAGCAGCAGGTGGGTGCCGGGAGCGACCCAAGGACGTTTGTCTACAGCCAGCAGCTGTCCCCCAAAGAGGATAGCCCAGCGGGCTACATTGGTCCCCTCCTGTCAGAAGCCACTAGACCGGCCAGACATGGGCGAAGAGGCACAGGCAGGAGCATGGCTGACTGAGTGGCTAGATAAACACAGCTGGGCCCGCCCAGCTGGTCAACTAGTGGCAAAGCAAAGGGTTGGGGGCCTGCAAGGGGCACTCGGGGCTCCCATCCCACGCCGGGACAGCCCCTCTCTGCTGCCTCCTGCTTCTGTGCGTCTACGCCGTCAGAAGACGTCAACACTGAGGGGCTCTGTCCAAAGCCATCCTGCCTCAGTGGAGCTGGCTGTCTCTGGGCAACCTGGCCGGGGCTGGGATGAAGTGGCTCCATCCCATCAGGCCTGCTGTGTGAACCAAGTCACAGGCGGCTGTGCACAGCCAGGGCCTTGCACTGCCACTGAGTGCCTCCTTGCAGGGAGGTCTATGCTGGAGCCAGAAGAAAGGAAAAATATGAGAGACCGTGAGTGGAGAAAGTTGCCACTGAACACATGCTGGCCTGGGTTGCAGGGCTCTCTGGGGAGGCCTGTGGCCCTCAGCGTGGGGAGCCGGTGAATGTCTCAGGAAGTGGAAGCACCTACGTGGGACGTGGTGTTCAACACCCAGGCCAGGGGCCAGCCGAGGACAGAAAGCTGAAAGCTGCCCCGAGAGGCTCGCTCTAGCTCCTGGAACTGTCAGGATTGGAGTTCAGGTTGTCACGGCAGACAGCAGGTCGAACACGAAGCTGGGGAACGGGGCACTTACCAGCTGCCGCTGCTTGGGGGGTAGGGCGGGAGGTGGGGCCAGCTCTTGCGAGGGTTCGGCGGCGCTGAAGGAGTCGTTGAAGCCGTACACCTCCATGAGCAGCTTGTTCTTCTGCTGGTAGATGTGCTCGTTCTGAGGTGTCTGGTAGAACACGGAGGGCTGCGGCTCCGAGTAGTCCTCGAGCAGCTGCATGTAGGCCAGCACTGTGGAGAGACGGCAGGGCTGCATGCAGGTCCTGCCCGAAGCCCGCAGGTCCCAGCCCGAAGCTGCAGGTACTGGCCGGAAGCCGTAAGTCCCAGCCCGAAGCCTGTAGGTCCCAGCCCGAAGCTGCAGGTCCTGCCCGAAGGCCGCTGGTCCTGCCCGCAGCCCATAGGTCCCGGCCCGAAGCCGCAAGTCCTGCCCAAAGCCCGCAGGTCCTGCCCGAAGGCAGAAGCTGAGTGGAGCCGGTGCCTGGGCTAGAGCAGGGAGGCTGCTCTGACTACTCCCACCCCAGCCCCAGCCCCAGCCCCAGGGTGATTTCCACCAGAAGTGCACTGCAGAGTGAGGATGGGGGCAGTCTCTGGGCAGCATCAGAGGTGGCCATGCCGTGTACATCTGTCTAAACCCACGGAACACCAATCACCAGGAGTACGCCCTTGTGTAAATCGTGGACTCTGGGTGACTGCTATGTGTCCCTGTCAGTCATGGAGTATAACAAAGATGTCACTCAGCGGGCAGCTGCCCGTGCGTGCCAGGTGCATGCTGTAGGGGTGTGCGAAATCTCCATATGTCCCACTCAATGTGGCTATGAGCCTAACATGCTCTAAGAAACAACACATCTTTTTTTTTTTTGGGGGGGAGAGGTTTTTGCTACAGGGTGCGTGCGCTCGCCAGAGAGACAGAAAGCAAGAAATCACCCCCTAGGGGGGATGGCCACACTGTAATCCCTTCTCCTCCACTCTCCTCTCAGGATCTTGGGCACGCACGCACACACAGCCAGCATGAGTTTAAGCCACTGGGTCTGGGACTCGAACCGCAGTCAACTACATGGGAGTCCAGCGACATAGCCATTACACCAACTGCTGGTCCCGAAACAATGTATCTTAAAGAGAGCACACCCACTTCTCACTGAAAAGCCCTTGGGGGTTCGGCCACACTCAGGGCTGCCTGCCTATGACGCTCAGGGGCTCTGCACAGCTGGCCGGCCCCAGCACTCCTCATAGCTCCTCGTGCTTGATCCCAGCCACACCGTCTGCAGCTCCCGGAACCCCTGTTGGGATTTCTGCACACCTGTTCTTGGAGCTCAGTCCTGCCCTGCCCCCAGCCCCCTTGTCCTTAGTGGCTTCCTTCCCTCCTGGCCCAGTCTGCAGAGAGCTGTGTATGGGCTCTCCTCATTCACCTGTCACTATAGCCTGAGGGCCTCCTAGGTCTGCTAGCACCACCCCGGCGCTGGGACGATGCCAGGGCCAGCAGGAGGAGTCCTCTGCCCTGTGGAGCACAGCCCTCTGGAGAGAGTAAGCAGAGAGCAGATTGGGAGGGCAGGGACACAGGTCCCCTGGAAGGAAGCAGGGTGCTGACGGGGGTGCTGGTGCAGAACACGGGAGAGCCGAGTGGATGCCGTGTAGGCTCCCATAGAGACCACAGCAGACCACAGCCCCTGCTGGGGACAGGCCTGGTGGGGAGAGCACAGCTGTGCAGACAGAGGGAGGAGGCCTGGCTGGGCCTCCTGCAAGGTCATGCCCACTGTGCCAACAGCACAGGGCGGCAGGCTTTGCCTTAAACGTGGTGGGGCCCACTGAAGGGTTCCATTCCAGGTGACGTTTTACAAGGTGGCTGGGGACTGCTGTGGCTGTTCAGGTGGAGGCTGACGATGGGAGTGGCGGCAGGATCCAGAATGGTGATTCTGGAGGTAGGTACCACAGGGCTCACTGCCTTCCCCTAGAGAGCTGAAGCTACAGGAGGAAGGGGCGGGCCTGCCTGGTGTGCTGCCACGTGTCCCTCGTGCCCAGTACACATCGGGCGCACCTAAGTATTTGCAGCATGAACGATGAACGAACAGGACACACGTCCCCAGTGACTGCCGGACCAGCCTGAGCACCTGTGGTGTGTGAGCAACGGCAACCAAACCCGCCCTCTCCGGCGGCAGACCCAGCCCTCCGCGAGAAAGGAGGCGCTGGGATTCCTCTTCGAAATTCTTGTAGGGACCCCTGACCAGCCCTGGAGTTGGACATGAAGCTATTGCCTGTCCCAGCCTGGCTGCCCAGAGGGCAGGGCCCCGCACCTGTGTGAGGGGCCACCAACAGGAAGCTTGAGCAGCAAACAGCGCAGTCCCCCCAGGGAGGTGAGAGGCGCAGCATGCACTGGGCTGCAGCGTCTGTGACTGCACCCTTGCAGGCACCTCTGGGAGAGGCTGTGGGCTGTCGCTGTGTGCTTTATTCCTGACTTTCGGGGGTGAATCCGAGCCCTAACACCTAGAAAGCCAGAGGGTTCTGGGAAGCGGGTGAGGAGCTGTCTACATCCTGCAGAGCTGTGAGGGCTTCCTCCAATCCGTCTGCCTCTGTGGACTGGACCCCACCTAACCCTGCCCATGGTACAGGGGAAGTCATGGCAGGCCCTCCGATTCCAGCGCCTGGAACCCTGCACCCCTCCACCCCCCTCTGGCTGTTAGGGTACTCCCTGTACTCACGCACGGGCCAGCCGTGGGGGAAAGGACCGCTGGTCCCTCGAGAGCTGGTTAGGAACAAGCACCATGAACTTATGCAGAGAGAACTGATGTGGATGTGCAGGCCGGGAGCAAAGAGGGCCCCAGGTCTGGAAACCAAGGACCCCACTCAGCGTGTGGGGGGCACGAGGATAGCAGGTCTCAGCCACCTCATGTCACAGTGCCAGCAGCACCTGCCGGGGAGTGAAGACTTGGATGCCAGAAGAGGGGAAGGCTGGCTCTGAGGGGCTGATGCTCTGCACGTTAAGATAAGCCAGAAGGTGAGGCGTCACTGGGAGCCCGGTCAGCAATCAAGGATGGGCAGAAGTGTGGGGAAGGCGGGGGTGATGCTCGCTGCCTCCAGGAGCCCGTCACTGAAAGAGGAGGTTCAAAGTCACCTTCTTAGGTGGAAGAACAAGTCGGGATTTCTTAGCTCCAATAAGCAGAGTGGAGCTTGGCTGTAAGGGCTGGGATAGGAAATGGACGCTCCTTCACGAGGAGGAAGTTGGTGGCTGCTGCTGAAGAAACCGGTGGCCGGCAGCCCCTAGGCCCCATGTGGCTCCGATCACTGTGGAGCTGGAGCCGCGGCCCCTGGCTGCTCCCTCAGGGATGGAAACAACACGTCTGCCCGACACTTCAGGACTTGCCAGGAGGTCTCTGAATTGCTGGGTTGAAGTCCTTGCAGAGACCTGCAAGAGCGTAGAGCAACAGCAGCGACGCCCATCTAAGAAGGGCCCACTGGCCAGGGCAGCTGGCGTCGCTGGGAGGCACAGCAGCCAGGGCTCTAGGACCCGGGGGCCTTCCTGGGGGCAGACAGTGGTCAGGAGCGCGTCAGGCCCAAGAGGCTGATAGGGCTGCCTTCAGCAAGAGGAGCCAGAGAGCCTCTGACGTCAGAGCTCAGGGACAAGAACCTGCTGACACAGGGACCGAGTCCTATGAAGCGGGCCCAGCACATGCCAGGTCCGCGGGATGAAGGTTTCCAGGGCTCCCCGCCTCCTGGGCGCTGTCACACTAACTGCACAGAGTGAATGCTTTTTTTAATGCCGAGCCAGCTGAGGGTGCGTCACGCCTGCAGCTCTCAGGAGTCAGAGGGTTTGTGAGCACAGATGCCAACACGACAGACTTCAGTGACAGCATGCTCTCAAATGGATGCTTAAGTGAACAGAAGGGTGTTCAGCCACTGAGACTTGAGCCTGTTCAAAAGGCAGCTGGCTACTTGTCCCTTTCCTTCTCGCTGCAGGCCCTGCGTGAGGACTGTCACCCCCACTTGATCTGGGAGCTGGTGGCTCCTTGCCTCCTGGGTGTGCAGTGGCACAAGCCTCCTGCCATCTGCAGGGACACCCTCTGCTGGGGGCCTGAGCTCAGAGCGAGGTGGTGGAGGAGGTCAAATGCCCTCTCGACACTTGCCATGTGCACGGGGAGGCGCAGAAGGACCCCGACATGGCTGTGGGCGACCCTCCGTTCCCCAGAGCGGATTCACAGCAGATGGGAACGACAGTCCCACAGAGCCAGCGCTCCCTCCAGCTGGGGACATGGTACTGCGGCCACTGCACACGCGGGGCTACCCCTAGGGCAGAGCTGAGGGACATTACAGCACCAGTGGCCTCCTGCCTTGGGCCACCAGCTGGCCTCTGGGACGACCCGCTAGGCCTCACAGAGCCAGGCCTTCCCTTACTTGAGAAGGGGCCCCCACTCCAGGCTGGGCCAGCCGGAAGCGCTCATCTGGAACTCGGAATGGAGATTCAGTTTTTGGCTCACAGTGTTCTGCTGGGGGCTTCAACGGGGGCCAGAGAATCCTGGGGCTGAGGGGCTGATGTGGCCACACGCACACCCACAGGGTGACAACTAGGCTGAAGAAAGCGGGCGGAGCTGCACCAGTGAAGGCAGCATGGGTGGGGGGCCCAGGGCAGGCGGTGCTTCCATGGGGAGCAGGCAGGAAGCGAGGGAACAGAACGCCAGGATTCTACCTGGTAATCCCACAGCAAATTCATAGTTGGTAAGCACGCCGCGAATGCAAGATATTCGAGGTTCCACATCACTCTTGGGCCCTAACAACATCACAGATGAAAGTGTCACCCCAGAGGTGTCCTCAGCGACTCCCGCAGGCACCACGGCCCCAAGGGCATCACTTCCAGTGTCTGCAGATACCCAGGGCAGCGCACTCCAGGGCACCAGGGAGAAAGGCCCAGAAAACCCCCTGTGGGCGCCAGGCACAGTCTGTGTCGACCTGAGCGCCCACCTTGCCTTACGCAGATGTTGCTGCAAGGCCGTCCTCACGGCAGGGCACAGCTCCCTTTGTCACGGTGTGTTCTGGCCAGGCCACCTAACGAGCTTCCCGTAAGCTCTGCAAAGACCAGGCTGAGCTCTTACTGAGGCCACAGGGACAGGCCAGCGGACTGGGCTATCGATGACCACCATAACGACAAGCCAGGCTTCCAGAAGCACCCGTCTACCAGCGGTTACCCTTTATGAAAGAATGAGGCCACTGGTTTGATTATCATCTAATGATTAAATAAAATACACCACCAATTTAGGTTACAAAATGTGCTTCCCGACAACAGCTCGACAAAAGCTTACTGTGTTTGTTTTTCTTCTCTGGCAGAGGCGGCGGCTTTTCTGGGTCACTCGTTGATTCAGGAGCAGTGAAATCACCCACAAATTCAACCGGTGCCGAGGAACCTCCTTGCTGGAAGGGGAGAATAGCAGCAAAAGGCGTGTAGGGGATGGACTGTGGGGCCGAGTTCTGCAGGTCATCCTCGGAGATGTTGTCATACTGCGAGGGGTGCCGCTCATAGGACGCCCTGCAGCTCGAGCTGTCCGCGGTCTGGGAGGCCGCACTCCGGCGCTTCTTCTCTGGGAGAGCTGGCGGCGTGTCTATCTGCTGCCCCGTGGCCAGGTGTCCCTCCATTTGGGGACAGTTGCCAACAGGCAGCTGGAAAGGATGGCCAAGAAATGGAGACCCAGACTCCCCCGAGGCCTCCGGCAACGGGCTAAGGTTGCAGGCCACTTGCTGAGGTATCTGGTCTGCGTTGGAGAGGTCTTGCTGGAGGAATTCGTAGTCGGGATCATAGTGATCTGAAACCACAGCAGGACAGGAAAACTCTCAGCCACAGCCCTGCAGGACAGTGGGCCCAGCTACCGCTGGCTCTGCCCGGCCTCACTCAGTCCTAGGCTCATGCGGGCTCTTGCTTTACCTAGTAGTCTTCATTCTCTCTGATGATAAAACTAAAACATGATTGCTTGCTATACTATTCTTTGTAGTTTCTTGTATTTTTAAATAAAAAAGAGAAAAATATATGACCACTATAAAACATGGCAAACTGTATCAGATTACAAGAAAATACTAATCACTCTCCATTCTAACACTGTTTACATGTTAATGTATTTCCTTTAAAAATCTTTTTTTTTTTTCTTCCTCTAAGATTCCATTTTCTTTTTCCAACCCAACTAAGAAAATACTATGTAAGTAATCTTGGAGGCCAGCAGGTGACGAGATGAGGTGGTTAAGGCAACAGAATCCCACCTGGCTGACTGCATGGTTGGGTCCTGAACCCATAGCTTGAAAACCACTCCAGGTGCACGCACATGTGTGCCCCAAATCTCAAGAGAATGAAGGAAAAGGGACTGCTGCATGGCCATCCCCCTTTGGGGGGGCTGCTTTCTTGCTTTCTCTGTCCATACCTCCTATGAGCACATGTGCCCTATAGCAAATAAATAAAAAAATAACTTGGACTTTTCTATTTATCAATATATCGTGATTTTTAAAAAATTATTTTAATTTTGTTATTATTTTTAACTTGACCAGAGAGACATGCACACACACAGAGAAACAAAGCAAGCCATCAGGTCCAGGACTTGAACCACACAGCTGGCCATGTGGGAGACCAGTGCCTTAACCACCACGCTACTTTGTGTCCCCACAAGTAATTTTTTTTTTTTTAAGAGAGATTTTTGCTGTAGGGTCCAAGTGTTTTCCAGAGAGACAGAGACAGTGAGAGAGAAAGTGAGAAATCACTCCCTGGGGACATGGTCATGCTGTAATCCCTTCACCTCCATTCTCCTCTTGGGGTGTGGGTACACACACACAAGCCCAGTGTGAGTTTCAAGCCTCTGGGCCTGGGACTTGAACCACGGTTGGCCATGCTGGAGTCCAGCACCTTAACCACTATGCCACCTGCTGGCCCCTCATAGGTGATCTTTAATAGCTACAGATGATCTTACCACGTGAATGTATCTACTTCATCTGACTTCCTTCCAGTCAGAGCTGTGTGCTTCCCGTTTATCAGTACTCCTAACAGTGCTGAGATGAATGTCTCTGGACAGAAATCTTGTTATAAAGCTCTGATTATGTTCTTAGGGTCCATTCTCAGAAGTGAAAATACCTAGTTCCAGGGCTATGAGAAGCTTAATCCCCAGTAAGCCCCTTCCGGCCTGCCCTGCACCTGACCAGCCCACACAGCATAAACTTAGCACTGACTGACAGAAAGGCCGAGGCCCGCCACATGGTGTGTGCCGCTAAGACCTATGCTCTGTGGGCTGGGACCCCACAGGAGGCCAATAAAAAAGGCCAGCAGATGGCATGGGCGTTGGAGCGACTGGGTCCCTCGTGACTAATGCCTGATTCGAGTATCGGACCTCTGGCTCGAAAATCATGTTGGGTGTGTGTGCACACGTGCCCCGAATCCCAAGAGGAGTGGAGGAGCAGGGACTGTGGCATGGCCACCCTTCCGGGGGGATGATTTTTCACTTTCCCGTTCTCTCTCTGTCTCTGGCAAATGCACATACCCTATAGCAACAATTTTTAAATAGAAGAAAGAAGAAAAAGAGGAGACAGACGGTGGCCTGGCAGGGAACGTGATGCTCCCCGAGGCTGGGCCACCTGGGAAGGCTCTGGCTCCCTTCAGAGGCCTCCCTGATTCTCCAATCTGTGCTATGACCGGAGCTGGCTGAAGCCAGGGGTGCCTCACGGTGTCCAGACCCTGTGCAGGGTGCGCTGTCTCTAACTTGTTCACGGAATAAATAAATAAATAAGCAAAACTTTAAAAAAGAGAAAAAGGAAAAGGCTAGGCAGCGCATGCCTTTAACCTCTGTCAGGTATAACTGGATGCCCCCTTTATTTAAGGGTCCAGGCACAGACGGCTGTTCATGGGGCAGGCACTCAGGTTGCACACACGACTGACCGTCGGGACAGCCACCCTGACAGTGTCTGCGCTGCTCTTCACCCGCTCACACCTCCCACCTCCCTGAGAGGCAGACGTTGTTGCCCTCACTTACACACGAGGAGACTGAGCGCCCCGGCCAAGGCCAACCAAATAGCCAGCATGACCCCGAAGAGGCCCCACAGCAGGACGAGCGGAGATGGCCACAGCTCACCTAGTGTTTCACAGCTTGTGTTGCGGGAGCACTGCCCGCTGTCCCTGTCCAGAGAGGACAGCTGCTCGTCGGACTTGCTGAGCTTGCCCATGCTGCCGCAGGGGGACAGGCGCGGCGTAGGAGTGGCCCCCCCCTGACAGCCGCCGCTGTGCATAGCAGTCAATGTCAAAGTCCTCGTGTGGGAGAACGAAATAGCTCGTGTCACTTCCAAGCAATGGTGGCAGGTACGTTTACTTACACAGGGTGACAGTCAAGCTCGGAAGCCATTGTTGCTGTCAGCAATAAAATGTCACATATACATGAGAACGGGGCCGCTAGGAGTCTGGGGGTGTGTGTGGCCATGGAAGACACCCCACTGGCTACGGCCCCCACCCCCCAGTACAGGTGTTCCGTCACATCCTGGAGAAAGAAGGATGCTACGAGGACTCCCGGCCCCACGAGAGAGCCTCTCACCCAACACCAGGGTCCGGGGACCACTGGGTCTCCTTTGGCATCTGGGGCCGATCCCCAACCGGAGCCCCACCCCTGCCCCTCTGCAGAGAGAATCGGGCTGCGTTACCTGCCTATTAATCCCCCCCCCCCTGCCCCTCTGCAGAGAGAATCGGGCTGCGTTCCCTGCCTATTAATCCCAACAGGCAAACTGGAGCCGCTGGTGGCTCGGCTCATGGGGGCCACCACAGCCACACGGGGGGGGGACGGGGCGGACTGTCTCTTCTTGGGCGGCAGTGCTGGCGGGGGACTGGAACAGAACACGCCCACAGGACCAG